ACGTACTAGAGAAGGTCACGGAAAATGTAGGGGATCAGACCGCTTGGTCGCTGTGCAGGGTTGGCAACTTCAGCGGCCATGTAGGATCCTACAAAATGAAAGATACTAAGGTAGTTATCCCCTTTAAAAACATCAGTCGTGGACGTGAGTCCACCTGGATGGCCTGAAAATTTGGGCATAACGTTGAAAATCCCGGTAAGTTGATGCCATTTAATTGAATCAGTTTATCCAGTCATTACTACTTTGATCAAATCGAATTTATATCATCTTTCGTAATCCGTCAATCTCCACAACTTTGCAGTTCGTTAAACTTTGGGTTCTTATGAAAATGTCATAAAGATAGCGAAGAAAGGGACTTAGGTGAGCTTAGCATAAAAAATCAACCTTTAGAGTTAAATTAACATAATAAAATTTCCAATGCTTGCCACTTACAGTGCATATAGTAATACACTTAGTCCCTAGGAGGTCCAGAAGAAAATTCGATAATTATTCGATTCATAAAGGTCAATCAATAGTTCATAGTTTACTAGCAGTAGGTTTGGATCAAGTTTTCGAAAACTCACCTGGTTTGATTATTATTGCGAACGTAAGACCGATCAGCGAGGAGATTAAATTTGACGACAGGATATAGCCCAATGCAACACCGCTGACCTTGCCATTTTCTTGTGGATTCAAACTCGCCAGCACTGTTTAGAAGAAAAGTGGGATTAATGCTTATGGAATAAAGCATAAAAAAGGAAAGGATTCCTATATCTTGTTACGAAATAAGATTGACAAATGTAACGGACATCTCTAGTCAAGTCCTCGCAATTCAGCCGCACACCAAGCCTAGACACAGGAGACCGGAAGTTCGAAGTTCAAAGGTCCGGGATTCCGAGACAAAATGCATTCGGTCCGGAAATAAGGTTACATCATGGAAAGACAGGACACGTGGCGTAAAACTAGACATCTGTTCAAAAGACCGACGTCATCTTGGCATTCCCCCCTTTTACTCATTGTCGGGTGATCAGTCTTAAGGCCACAGCAATGATGAAAAACAAAAACAAGTGTCAGTACAAACCTGAGCCAGCTCAGAAGGGAAGGGGGAGGGTAGGGGGTAAGCGCGAATTTGATACAGGAAGGCATTTCTATTGAACGACTTATAAACCACAAATAAATGCAAGACGGCTTGTAAAGTCTTCACTACGCGGAAACCTTATTAACGGCAGGGTTTAGTCAAAAACTTGAAATTGTTTGAATTATACTTGAAGAGCACAGCTGTGTCGGAGGCCAACATTTGAGCGATCGTATTTCGAGAATGGTCTTAAAGCGAGCCGTATACCCAGGGAGTTGTGTCTTTTAAATGAAGTCCTTAATTGGAACAGGGTTCTAAAACAATGCATGAAACGTGTTTTGAATCCCTGCACACATGACCGCGACCTTTAAGGGGTCCGAGACTGTTGCGGGCAGGGGAGGGGGCAATACAGTTCGGTATCTAGTAGAAGCAGCTATTCCGGTTAGCTGCGTATACCAACCCCTAATTAAACATTTACTTTTGCTGAAAGCCTACTGAAGATTGTAGAAGGGAGGTAGAACGAAAAGTCGTCATAATCAATAAAAAGAAACCACCATCTGTGAACCTCAGTGCTCGAAAAGTTTCCTTCTTCTGTTCTCGTACATTGGTTTGGAATTTGAACAGTCGCCCCCCTTCGGGAACCCAGATGCTGTTCACGAATGTGATTATGAACATACTCTGATTCTACTGTATGTTAGCACACGTGCCTCTGCATAGTTAGCATTCATAGATTAAAATTGCCATACAGAAATTCCCACGCCATATATATGTATATTAAATATGTTACACCGTACTTCCACATAGGTACTAGCTAAAGGCCCAGACACGTGTTTCGCAGGTATTCTGCCGCTGCTTGACACGTATATGTATATATATGCAGAAAAACATTACCGACAAAAAAGAATATGATGGGCATTGCTGAATTGTTAGCCCTCGTCAGTCACTCCTACTCAAAGCCAAGTGGTTCTCTGCCCGAGGTTCGAACCCAAGATCTTGCTAGTTGAGAATAACCACTGCGCCACGGGCAGTCGGTAATGCCCTTCTGCCTATGTCACTAGCCGTCTTGCGGCGTAGGCTCGAGAGTGAGCTCCAAAAGCACCAGGCGGGACCAGTGCGTCCTTAAACTAATCGGTGTGCGCCTATCTGCCAGTTTAAATATATATATATATATATATATATATATATACATGACAGATAGGCGTACACCGATCAGTTAGAGGACAAACTCGTCCATCCACGGTGCCTTTAGAGAAGACAATCGAGTCTACGCCGCAAGGCAGCTAATGATATAGGCAGAAGGACAGTACCGAAAAATAAAAGGAAGACTAGGATGGCCATTTCTAGCTTATTGGAAATTTTAATAGCTGTTCTTCAATGTTAACTAATTTGTGAAATGACCAACCAACAAAAATATGAAATTAGAACATTAGCGGATTTCTCCCTCAAAATTGAAAACTATAATTTTATTGATTAGTTGATGAATAAAATTTCAACTTATTTTTTTCGCTTTCGAGATGCCCAAACGCCCTGGGTTGTTCGGTTAAGACTACGAAGTTTACAACTTCACGTCAGATTTCTATGTTGCTAAACTTTCCTACGGTGTTAAGTCATTAAATTTAAGATTAGAAAGTCTTCGGACTCGCGGATCTCGTTAGAATGTACGAATTCAAATGCAGTTAAGCGACACTATCAACAAAGGTGACATCCTAAAAGCTAGACGTAGGTTTTGCCGACGGTTTTGCTTCTGTATGACGCAACTACGTTAAAGTTGGATTATCAGCGAGTCTCGTAGCGATCTCTCTACGTTCGCCGATATACACATCTTCAGTTTTAATGCTTAGCTTCGAATTTCATCGAAAACTAGTGTCCAAACCTGAACTTAAGTCCTCCAGATGGCAGATGCCTCTACTGTAAATATACAAACGTACCACTGATGATGCTTGACGCAATCATTGGAAGAATTGTTAGCGTCAGAAGTCGGATGTAAATGTCACCAGGTACACCTAAAATCGAAAAAAATCGTTGACTGACAAGGTGGATTCGAGGTGTCTCTATGAAAAACACACTAAGCTCAAAAAATTTGCGGTTGAAAAGGGTGAGTTACATGAGGCGTGGGAATATCAACCGAATGGATACCTGCAGAATTGGAAGGAACAGTTTCAACGCTATAAATAATCCTGTCAGTTCGGTGCCTCTCAGTATACACATATTTACACGAAATTGGCGATCTACCAGTGTAACTGGTAGATGAAGTGCTGCAGAATACGATCCTGACCTGCATGACTATTCCTGATTAAATAACTGTTGTCAGTCTTTGCTATTCCAGCCCCAGTTCTGAATAACCTGGCGTTCGAAATTGAAACATGGGTTTTTACCAGT